AATTATCATTTGTCTGGCTTCTGAATTTGATATCATTCTATTTGCTACTAAATCAATTCTAGTAGAAATATGTAAAGGCTTCTTTTGGGCCCTGTATAACTTTAGTGACTCAATTTTATTTCCCATTTCTCCAATTCTGTTCGAAACATTCAAATATGTTGCCTGACATAAATTCAGGGTATGGTCATTATATACAGCTTGCTTTCTATAGTAGCATAATTTCCTTCTCCAAAAATTTGATCTTGGGAGATTTCCATGAGTAGTAAAAAGGGAGCAGGCCTTTGTTCCATCCCACTCACCTCCCAGCCACCCATCTAGCTTATGCCTGAAATAATTACATGGAAACTGTATTCATTTAAACACTGCCTGGCCCATTAGTTCTCTATTGAATAGCTCTTACATATTGATTCAACCCATTTCTAATAATCTGTATCGCCACTTGACTGTGGCTAACTGATGTGAGTCTAACCAGCATCCATCTCAGAGAGGAGAGCCATGGCATCTGCCTGACTCTGCTTTTTTTCTCCCAGCATCCAGTCCTGTCTTCCCCACCTATCTAAATTCAAACCTACCAAAAGACCAAGGCAGTATTTTATTTGACTAATGAAACAAGACATAGAAAGAAGACCCTCCTACACCATCCATACATCTAGCTTTATTCAGTTGTTCAATAGTCTTAGCCTCTTCTCTGAACCACCTACTCCACTGTAATTGTGGACCAGGCTCTAAAACAGCTTTAACTAATTCTATCCAGTCCTTATAGATAATTCTATTACAACTGACAATGAGTTTAACATTTGCTTCACAAAAGGTGAATATATGTCACATGAGACTCTTGCATCCTCGATTCTCTTTAAATCTAATGTCAGTAAGGGGCCCAGTTAGTTGTAACAGAGCCTCTGCCATTTGGCAATTCCTTCAAGATTGTTGAATATATTTAGGTTGGTTGTTTGAAAACTTAATGCTGTTCCTCTGTACTCTTATAATGCAGCACTGAAACTGGTTCTCCATTAAATTTCTCTGTCTGAATTTGAATATCTCTGTGATCTGTTTTATTAGGGTTTTCAGGTTATATCTTAATACTCAGATTAATAAGTTTTTAAGTGATAAGATAAAAACAATAAAGATGATAATGTTTACAATTGACATTACAAAAATCCCATCTAAATTAGATATCCTCCCATTTAATTGTTCCATTTTCTAACTGGGCTGCATATTATCATACAAAGACTCAAATTCCTCCATTGTAGTGGTTTTCCCCATTTTTAATGTGGGAAAATACTCTCTCTTTTAACTAATTCTTCTTTTAACCAGCCTACAATTCACAATCCCAGAGAACCTAGAGACCCTAAGAGACACATATATGGAGCTAATCTACACAGGAAGTAGAAAAAGACAAAATCTCCTGAGTAAATTGGGAGCATGGGGACCATGGGAGAGGGTTAAAGGGGAGGGGAGAGAAAAGGAGAGAAGCAGAGGAAAATGTATAGCTCAATAAAATCAATAAAATAGTTTTAAAAAAAATTCCCAAATGTCTTACCAAAACTACCATTGATATTGATGAAGATATGAGGCTTATTGCTAATGTGTAGAACTGTTTAGGCCTGACTAGATTTTAAGGTATCTATGTAGTGTGGCAGCAGCCCCAGAAGGGGCTTCATGGAAAGTCCACAACCCTTGGTGTGTGTGTGTGTGTGTGTGTGTGTGTGTGTGTGTGAGAGAGAGAGAGAGAGAGAGAGAGAGAGAGAAGAGAGACAGAGACAGAGAGACAGAGAGACAGAGAGACGGCTGTCTGAAAAATGCACAGGTGATTGTTAAGAAAAAGCACCTGTGGCCGATGGTTGCCAGAAGGCAGAACCAGCCAGTCTAGGGTGGATATGTCCTGTGATGCTTGGAGTCCAGGTACTTCTGGAGTTTGGATGGCAGCTGAAGACTGTTTCAGAGAGGTTAGAACATGAAATTCCCAAACTTGCTCAGAGGCCGGGTGGGACTGGAGCCCGACATGCAACTCCATTGGTGCTGTGGGATAATGCTTTTGTACACAGTAAAGATTTGTCACTTGTATTGGTTTAATAAAACGCTGATTGGCCAGTAGCCAGGGAAGAAGTGTAGGCAGGGCAACAAGACTCAAAGAATTCTGGGAAGAAGAAATTCTGAGACGCAGTCACCAACCAGACGCAGTGGAAGCAAGATGAAACTGAAGCTCACTTAATAAAAACTCAGAGAGAGAAATTGGGGTTCAGCCTGAAGGTCAGAAAAGCAAAACAGCCAGCCACTGGATCTTACCTCGACCTCAGTCTGAAATGGTGATCCTGATTCTTGTAATTTCAGAATGAGACTGAGCTTGAGAACTGTCTCCTCCCATTTTATAACTCTTTTCAGGGCTGGGATTAAACACAGGCACCACTGGGATTAAAGGCATGCATCACCTGATTTCTATAGCAATTAGTGTGGCTACTGGAATTAAATGTGTGTGTGTCCAACACTGCCTGGTCTGTAAGGCTAACCAGTGGGACTGTTTTACTCCCTGATCTTCAGGCAAGTTTTATTTATTAAAATATAAATAAATGCCACTACATGAGAATCCCTCACTGATGAAAGTTACCAAGCCATGTGGCTAAACATAGATAAGAATTAAGGGTTATTTTAAATTGTAATAACTAGTTAATAATAATAAAAATAATAAGCCTGAGTTAATAGGCCAAACAGTTTATAATTAATATAATCCTCTCTGTGTTTCTTTGGGACTGAACTACTATGGGACTGGGTGGGACATATCATTACACAGTGGGAGCTCCCATGTACATCTCTGGTCTGTGCTGGTGTCAAAAAGGCCACAGGCAAATGGCTTTTTTGTGATCCATACTCCAAATATTGAACACCGACTGTAACACGAATAATAGAAACCCAGAGACAGATCTAGGGGTTCAACTGGAAGATCAGAAAAGCAAAGCACCCAAGCCTCTAGAGAGTTCTTACCTTTATGAAATCTTCAGATTGAAAGAGAGCAAGTTCCTTTTTCTTCTTACTTTATATTCCTCTCTAGTGCTGGTATTAAAGGTGTGTATCACCACCGCCTGGCCTCTATGGCTAACTAGTGTGGCTATTGGGATTAAAGGTGTGTGCCACCACTGCCTGGACCACATGGCTGGCTAGTGTGGCTGTTTTGCATTCTGATCTTCAGACAAGCTTTATTTATTAATATACAAATGAAATGTTACTACACAAAATACAAAATTTTGTGACTTATCTCCATTTCAGAGTTGCTGTTGGTATTTTTTAGTTGATTTTTTTCCTAAGTTGGTAACATGTCATTTGGCCAGGGATCCATCTAGTAAGACACAGTTTGTCTGGAGGTCACCTCAGGGCACTGGGGTTCTTTCAGTGCATGAGCACCTTCATCACATTTACCCAGGTTATGACTGTGTCTTCAGCAAAACCATCACTCTCTTTGGGTTTCCGTATTAGGTTGTGCTACTGCCAAGTGTTCCCGACTGCAAATGTTTCTGTGGATGTAAATGAACTGACTCATCGTGAACCTGAGAACTAACTCTAGTCACTAGAACAGATGGAATGGGAACCAAGGTCAAAATAGTGTCTCAGTAGTATGTCTGTGACTTTGTGGTAGGCACTCAGCTCTCTCCACCTTTCCTTCTAACAGCTCTTAAAACAATCAGGGCTGTGAGCATGGTGAAAGCACATCTCGCTCCAGGCCTGCTGATGTTTCTTAACTTCAAAGTGGGGGTTACCTTGTTCATAAGAGGGGAGTCAGTTCCGATTGGCAACACAAAAGTTTCATAGGGGAACTGGAACAAATTATCTATTTGTTTCTTTAACAGAGAGTGAAACCTACCAGGAATACCCATAATATTACATATTTTTATATGAGGATAATGAGCATGTTACCGTTGATGCATTCACAGAAAATTTTATGATTTTTCTCTTAACTACTTGACTTTTGAGGCACATATTAGATTTTACTTACCTGTATTTGGTATCTAGTCAAAGTTAGGTATAAGGTGAATTTGATCATGTTAGTGAATTTGTCACTAATGGATGGAATACCAATGCATTTGTATTTTTTTGTTGTACTTAAACAGATATTTATTTATTTATTTTGTTGTACTAAAATAATCAATTTATTTATCTACACATAAATGCATTCATGTATTCACACATTCATGTAGTCTGGAGGTAAACTCACACCAACACACAGAGAGAGGGAGAGGGAGAATATCATAGATGTCTCTGTATCTGTGTCTAAATGTTCCACACACATGCACATACTGATAGGCATACAGAAATGCAATATTTATATTACATTCAAATTTATACATGTGTGGTGCATATATGTATATATTTAGCCAACCATTTGTATTTCTAGCTAGTTCTGTTGTGGAAGTCATTTGAAGAAAATTAAGAAAATATTTAACCAACCTTATGGTGGTTATATCATAATTGACCTTTGTGAAATAGAAAGTGAATGCCTCCAGCTTAGAATTTAGAAAGGTCAATGGGGAACTTAGAATTTAAACCAAGTATATCTTTTACAGCTTGCCAGTGGGAATACATTGTTTTGCTCTCTGTTGATAAGACTTACGTGAGTTTCTCTTGGACTCTGTCAGGCTCAATGGATAGTAATTTTTAGTGTTAATAGATCAAAGTAGAGTAAAATAATTTTGAAAAATTTTAAGAGTTACAGAGCGTGGTTAATTAATGTCATTTGTTCATCATTATATCCCATGAGAAAGGCGGTTTTACAGTTTCATTGCATAAAAGTAAATGGAGACTTAGAGAGGGTAAATGATGTCACAGAGTCATTAAACATTCTGTGGAGCTGAGACAGGAGCCTCAGTGTGATTGAAAGACTGTATTTCCCCTTCTACATTGAATTGATAATGATAAAGAACGTTCCCCTTATAATTATGGAAGAAAACCTTTACAAAAAAAGTTTCAAATGTAAGTGCATGCTCTGAGAGACCCACCTTTCTTTCTTTTAGAAGCTGAGCTGGAAAGTTCACTAAAGAAGGGCACAATGTTACATGAGAAAGAGCATTTTGCAACTATCTGAAACCGGGATCTATGTGAAAAGGAACAGCAGACATGAGAATGGCTCGGGTTCATCCTGTTGAGCTGTCTGTTCTGGGATGAGATAAAAGCTCACAGGGTCTCAGAGACAATACATATCCTAAAACAATTTATGGTGCCATGGATTAGAGTTGTAGAGTTCACATGGAAAAATACAATTGAGGAAAACCAAAAATACAATTCTTCAGAACCAAATTGAAGAAAAACCAACAAACTGGAAGCTACAGAAGAAATGTTACTTGAAGAGAAACCATAGGTCCAGAAAGAGCCTTTCTCTACTGGTGTGCACACCCTAAAGTTACCTACAACAAAGAACACGAAAGAGTTAACTCCTTGCAAAGCTATGGTCTGTTACTCACTGGTTTCGGAAATAATGTTGTGAAAATGTCCCTTAGACATGTGTTTTAGTGGAGATATTTTTGGAGCAGAAGATCCTGTGAGGGAAAACGAGGCAATCGCAGGACTTAAGGGACTCATGGGACAAAAAGCAGGTAAGGATTTGGAAGACACTTACGTGGTGGAGCTGACAGTGAGTATGAGTGTCAGGGTGTTGGTGGTTGTAGAATTTACTGGATTACATGTAGATATGCTTCTAGGCTGTCTTTATATAAACTCTGAATCTTTGGGCCAATCTCAATCTCATCACTTCCAGCCTCCCTTCCCCTCTCCCTAGGTAATTAATGATTTTAACATTTTGGTGCCTTTCACAGTTTTTTTTCCCCTTCAAAGTCAGACTCTCCTTTACATACTAACATTAGGCGTTTGGTAAAAATGATCCAACCTGAACACATCTTCTTGTTAAGAAGAATAGCTATTGCAATTATTTTTGCATGAATACGAAATGTGTCATGATGAAAAGAGATTACTTCTGCTCCATAAGCATTATTATTAATAATGATGTGCTACCTGAAGGACAGAGTAGAATTCTTAGAAGGAAGAAACTGTTCTGTTTCATGTGTCATTTGAAAATAATGTTTATTATTTTGATTAAAATGCTGGAAAGTATGAAGAATAAAGTGAAAAATTGATCACAACTTCTAGAAGTAACTGCTATTAATATTTTGTTATGCTGTTTTTGTGTGTATATAATAAATAACTAGGTCCATGTTTTATATACATATGTATATATAATATAGTTTCATTCTCACTTTATGTAATGAAGTATGGGGTTTCCAGGTATTCAGTGCTATGTGAAAACATTATTAGCATTTCCATTTATTGGATAATACAGTTACTAATCAAGGGCTCCTCTACCCACATGTGTATTCTCATCTAGTAAATAAAGTTGGGATGAATTATCCATGCTTAGTTCTTTTAAAAGCTTCTGAAAATTCATCAATGTGCATTTGTATGTATGGGCATGGTGTGTGTGGAGGTAAGAAAACTATACCAAGGAGTCAGTTCTCTCCTTCCTCCTTCACTTGGATTTTGGGGGTTTGAACTCAGGTTGCCAGGCTTGCCAGGCAAGCACCTTCTCTCACTGAGCCATTATGCCAGCTCCCTGTATCTGTTTATTTACTTAACTAAGTTTTGATTTCTTTTGTCTGTATTTTGCTGTTTTAAATATACAGCTCTTACATATACTTAGATTGTATAATCAAACTTTTAACTAAATCTCATCTTTGGTGCTACTGCAAATGGTGTTGCTTTTTTAAAATGTAGATTGTAATGTTCCTTGCAAGTCTATGGATACAATGAAACCTGAGTATTTGTTCTATATCCCAAATCTCATGAAATATTTCTCAAGCCTTGTTTCTTCCAATTTTCGATAGAATGCACGCGTGGGCGAATGGGTGGTCTGCTAACTAAGGAATTTGCTGCTGTGAAATAAGTTTGTGAAAACAGAGGTAAAGAGAGGTGTAGAAACACCTCTTTCAAAGGGCTTCTCAAAGGCTCTTCTATCTAAACGTGTGCTATGAGCTACCAACAAAGAAATCAGGTACTCTGTGTCCTGGGGCCACAGAGCTATCATTTTATGTGGCTTCAGTTAGGAAAGCATAAACATGATTCTACTTTTTGATTCAGAATGGACTATTTTTTTAATCAGTGACAATTTAGGAGTGGTGTGTTCTAGTTATATTGCTAAGGCTAGCACGAAGATCTGCTACAAAACAAGCACATCTTGAAGTCTCTATCCTTTGGTCATATTGCGGTATGTGTAGGCGACACTCTTGGTGGTTCTTTGCCAAATTATACTGAGAGCAAAGACTGGACTCCTCCCTCCCTACTTTCCTCCCTCCGTCCCTCTCTCCCTCCCTCCCTCCCTCCTCTTTCTTTCTTAAAGAAATTAATTTGTTCTCCTTTCTCTGTTTCTTTTTCCCTGTCTGTCTGAGGATTATATCAACATAATTTAAAAATCTATTTTATATTACTTGTATTCTTTGTGTGTGTGTACATACGTACGCAAGTGCACATGTGCGTGTTTGTACACTAGGAATTTGACTTGGGGGTTTTGATCTGTTGAATGCTAGGCAAGCACTTTACTACTGAACTGTTTCACATAGCAGAATACAGAACATTTTTCTAGTAGTTGCTACAGTACCTTATTACATCATATAATTGTTAATTGGTGTCATTTTTTACTGAGTTAAATTAAATACAAAAATCTTACCTCTATTTATGTCATTTTACTCTCTACACTTTATAATGCTTGTTTAAAATGTTTCCTTACAAATGTTTACAGTCATGTCAGACATTCCTGTGTTTCTTTAGCCATCAAACACCCTTTAGAAACCCACAGAAGAAAATTTTATGACACATACCTGTATTTTGGCATATTATGTTGTTTCAAGGATCTTGTTTTCTTTTTGTTTAGAGACTTTCCTAACTAATGACTTCAGAATAGGTCACTGAACAATTCCCTCGACTGTGCTCAGCTTGAGAATGCCTTGTGCTCCCCTTTATTTCTGAAGGATATGTTCTCTGGATAGCATGTTCTTAGGTGGCTGTTCTACTTTTTTTTTTTCAAAGTTGGAAAAAGTGTGACACTTTCCTTTGTCCCAAGGGTTTTGATAAGGAATTCATTGTCATTCAAACAAATTTTCCTGCTCAGGAAGCTGTTGTATCTATTACACCAGTTTTACCAGTTTTTTTTCTTTGTCTTTGATTTCATAAGTTTGACTGTAATGGGCCTTGTTATAATTCCTTACTGTTTGTCCAGTGTGAGCTTTGCTAGCTCTGGGCTTTTAGCTCTGTAGGCTTCTGTCTACTGCAAACATTTGGAGCATTTTCCATAGCATGTCTTTGCAGTTGTCGGTTGCTTTAGGTGTGATTGTGAGACGCAGGAATCATTAAGAACAGAGCCCTCATTGTCAAGTCTGTTCAGTCTTTCTGCTCTCAAATGTGTGCGGTTTTCTTATACATGTTTGATATGTACTATCCAGGCTTGTTAGAAGTTATCAATGCGCAAAATAGAGAACTTTCTATTTTTTCTTCCCTATAGCTATATATATATATATGTATATATGTATTACTATATTGTTTAACTATCTATAGCATACAGATAATTATGCCCCATAATGTGTTGAAACAATTTTCTAATGAAATTAGCTGAGTGACTTTTGATGTTTTGTTTGAAAGGAGAGATGCCTTTATTTGTTAAAACACTAAGACCAATTAGATTTGTGCTACAAGAAGATTCATATTCCTCTTGAGGGATATGGAAGGACTCTTGGGTATAAGTGGATGTATATGGTGAAGGCAGTATGGCCTACTTTGTGACAATTAACCACTGTGTTTTAGGCTGTGTGGCAGTGCATGCCTTTAATCCTATCATGTAGGAAGACAGACGCAGGTGGATCTCTAGAGTTTAAGGGCAGCCTAGTTTACATGGAAACTTCCATGCCAGTCTAGGGCTACATAGTGAGACCCTGACTTTAAGAAAAAAAAAACCTGTCTGTTAAAAAAATAAATAAAAGAGCCAAAAAGGATCTATTTCTTAAAACACAAAGGCCTTATAATGACAGATATTTCAATTGAGCTCTGATAAAGTTAAAATTAGCAAGGAGGAAAAACCTCATGTCAGGAGGGAAGAACAGTAGTAAGAGGTCATCATCAGACCACGAGAATCTTACAGATCAAGAGAAGTCAAAATGTGATTGCAGGTTTCCAAATAATTTCACAAAAATAAATCAACTTAAGAAAAAAAGCAGAAGAATACCCCCCACTCCCCAACCTCTGGCACTATGTTGGCTAAGCCAGTCTTCAGATGCTTTTGTAGTTGTAGAATGGTTCACAAAATCCTGTTGAAAACTGATAAAGAAGGGAACAAAGAGAAATATTCCTCTCCACTGAACTCTCTAGCATACAAAGCTGAAGTCTTTTGCTCTTTTGAGTGTCATGTAATACACGTAGATGCTCTAAATGCTTATAAGGTTTTTTTTGGTCTTAAAAATTATTTCTCAAGCATTTCTCTAGGTTGATATCTTTTGCTCAGAATTTCCTGGGACATAGTGAACTATAAGAAATAGATGGGTTTGTCAGGATAGCCAAAACAATCCTGTACAATAAAGGAACTTTTGGAGGCATCACAATTCCTGACTTCAAAACTCTACTACAGAGCTACAATACTGAAAACAGCCTGGTATTGTCATAAAAACAGACAGGGGGGGGCATTGGAATGGAATCAAAGATCCAGATATTAATCCACATACCTACAAAGACCTGACTTTTGACAAAGAAGCAAATAATATAAAATGGAAAAAAAGAAAGCATATTTAACAAATGGTGCTGGCACAACTGGATATCAACATGTAGAAGAATGAAAATAGATCCATATCTATCACTATGCACAAAACCCAAGTCCAGATGGGTCAAAGACCTCAACATAAAGACAACCACACTGAACCTCATAGAAGAGAAAGTAGGAAGTACACTTGAACGCATTGGCACAGGAGACCACTTCCTAAATATAACCCCAGTAGCACAGACACTGAGAGAAACAATAAATGGGGCCTCCTGAAACTGAAAAGCTTCTGTAAAGCAAAGGATACAGTCAACAAGATAAAACGACAGCCTACAAAAAGGGGAAAGATTTTCATCAGCCCTACATCAGACAGAGAAGTGATCTCCAACATATACAAAGAACTTAAGAAATTGGTCATCAAAGGAGCAAATAATCCAATTAAAAAATGGAGTACAGATCTAAACAGAGAACTCTCAACAGAAAAGCCTAAAATGGCTGAAAGACACTTAAGGAAATGCTCAACATTTTTAGCCATCAGAGAAATGCAAATCAAAACCAGTCTGAGATTCCATTTTACACTCGTAAGAATGGCCAAGATCAAAAACACTGATGACAACTTATGCTAGGGAGGTTGTGGGGAGAAGGAAACACTTCTGCATTGCTGGTGGGAATGTAAGCTGGTACATCCTTTTTGGATTTCAGTGTGGCAATTTCTCAGAAAATTAGGAAACAACCTTCCTCAAGGCCCAGCAATACCACTTTTGGGTATATACCCAAAGGATGCTCAATCATACCACAAGGACATGTGCTCAACTATATTCACAGCAACTTGTTTGTCATAACCAGAATCTGGAAACAACCTAAATGCCCCTCAATTGAAGAATGGATAAGGAAAATGTGATACGTTTACACAATGGAGTTCTACACAGCAGAAAAAATAATGATGTCTTAAAATTTGCAAGCAAATGGATTGGTGTAGAAAACATCATATTGTATGAGTTAACCTGGACCCCGAGAGACAATTATCATATGTACTTATTAATAAGTGGTGTTTAGACAGAAGGCACAGAAAACCAGCCTACAGTTCACAATCCCAGAGATCCTAGATAACAATTAGGACCCTAAGAGAGACATACAAGGATCTAATCTTCATGGGAAGTAGAAAA